CCGACAGGCCCGCCACCTCTACTCCTTTGTCCACCCCTTCCATTCCCCGGTAATACAAAGTCCGGGTTTCCGCCTAGCACCTGACTTGCCGTGAACCCTCGTCTCCCCTGCTGATATTGTTGTTGCTGGGGAGGTGGCTGCCAGTTTGGATTGGGCGGCCTCTGTGAAATGCTAGTGAAGTTGCTAGAAAGGCTCATGGTAGGTGACCTCTGCTCATCCTGCAGATCCTCGAGTGTTTGGTTAGAGGGGTTGCGATGGGGGTCTATTGGGAGAGGGGGTGGTGGAAAGGAAGGAGGATTGTGGGGAGAGGAGGAAGGAGATGTGGGATACCCTGGTGTCAGGGAACGGGGATGTGGAAGGTTGGTGTCGAAGGCGGGGACAACATCTTCGTAGTAGGAGGAGCTTGAGGCGATGGTTGGAGATGTTGGGGGGTAATTCGAGGGTGGAGAGGAGGATGGGCCCGCGGGGAGCTCTACCGGCGGAGGGGAGCGAGATTGTGGGGGAGGGGTGTTGCTATGTTGTTGCTGCCAGGCCTGGCGGGGCGGTACGTATCTGTAGGGTAGAGTTTGTTAGTAAGGAAGCAATAGTCTGAGGTAAAAAGTGGGGGGTTACTCGTCTTGTGGGGTTGACCTTCCGTTTTCGTTTACCACGGACAGTCTTCCAGTGTGGGGAAGTTCTGAAGGACGTTCATCTGTATCTAATTCCGCTGGCCCACTCGGTCCGCCTCCACTTTGATCTCCTCTTGCACCTCCAACTTCAACCGCACCAGCCATAGGTAGTGTCTTTTCAAACTCCCTCCTCTCATCAATGATCTCACCCTCGGGGTGATCATATTGCTGTGGCCCAGATAGAGGCCTAGGTCCTCCTCTTGCACCCGTCATCACCGCTCCTGGAGGCGGTCCCCCCATTCCACCGTATGAAGCTTGGCCACCACGCATCCCTCCTTGTGGAGGAGGCCCCATTATTCCATTATTCGGCGGTGGTGGACTCATGCTGTACCCCGGGCCTCCACCACCATAAGCATTGCTAGCAGGTGGCCGCCCAAACTGACCCGGCGAAGGACCTCTTCTTGGTGGGGGAGCCAGTCCTCCCGGAGGAGGGTACATCCCGGGTGGTGTTGGTCCCCTAAATCCACCAAGTGGCGGGCCCCGCTCTGCATATACATCTCCCCCATACCCCCTATCATACCCGCCTCTCTGTGGAGGTGGAACTCCATACGGCCCCGGGCTTCCGCTAGTCCCTATTTGTAATGCCCCATTTAGGTACTGATTCCTTACCTGCCCTGGAGGCATGGGTCTAGACAAAGGTCCAGCACCCCTAGGTGTTGGACCATATCCCACACTTCTGTCGCTCGGCTCCCTTGTCAAGGTATTGCTCCTTGTAAACGACCCATCCGATCCAGCACCTGGTATGGGCGGTGAAACAGTTCTAGATCTAGGATTAAGCGGGATTCTCTCACCCTCTGGCTCGCCTGGTGTCGTCTTATTCACCTCGAACGTTGCATATTCGGGGAGCTTGTCGGGTTGGGTAGGGGCAGCAGTATGTTCTCGAGAAAGGGCTTGTGATGCGTAGAATTCTTGGCCGTTCATAGCGGCGTTATCTTCTATCCTCTTTCTTCTCGCTTTCTTCGACACAACTGTCCTACGCATTCCACACATCACTACTCCTGCTATCGCAATCAGAATAGTCGCGCCCAAAACTATCCAACCACCCCATTGCACGTGCGGAAGGAAGATCAATATATCAACCAAGAAAGCCAGGAGCGAAAGCAAGAAGGTTGGTAGCGCAAGTATGAGAAGTGCCAGCAGGTAACGAGGCGAGTGCGCAGGCGAATGAAGGTGGGATATGACTGCGAGGACCAGTAATATTAGAGTGAAAAGCGCAGCGATAGGATGAACGATCAGTAAGCTTGATAATGAGTTGCGTGCATTGGATGGCAGCGAGAAGTCGGAATTGGTGGGTGAGAGTGAGCCTGCAACGAGATGAAGTTAGTTAGCCGCTCAGACAAATTCCAATAACTCAAATGCGTAGTTGAAAGGTGAGGAGGAAAGAGACAGAGACAGAACCACAGCGCTCAATTGGTGTTCGTGCGGCCAAATCACAATGTCGCCAAACTATAAAACCAGAACCACGCATGTTCATGATCCTGCACTTGCTATCTCCACCCTCCCTCGCCTTCAACCCCTCCAGGGTAAAAACGTACTCATATCATAGCCAATCCTGACGCCGCTACACGCTCTCGCATCGCAAAAGCCAAAGACACCAAATGCAATATCCTTATAAGAGGCCAAGTGAATTGATGGAATGACAGGAGTGCTCAGCACACTCAGCAGTAACAGCGCAAAAGCTGCGAACAGCAAGATACTGAGTGGAGTAGCCGGCCGCATACGCATTTTGACTTTTTTGTTTTCCGGAGTGCTGACCAACAATCAGATATGGTGGAGTGAAGAAAGAAAAGAGAGAAAGAGCAGAAGAGCAAAAGGATGGAAGGTCGGTGTCGGAGCGGGGGTTCGACCCGTGCACCGGTTATGGGGGTGGCTCAGTTCAGGAATAGCTTCTTGCGGGGGGGGAGACGAAAATAAGGATAAAAGAATGGTGCCTCCGCTGATCAAAGATGAAAAGAAATGAAAAAAACGAAAAATGAAAAGGAAACCTGGAATGCAGCTCGCGTACCGAAAGGTTGCGGTAATAGTGACGGAGTCCGCAAACGTTGACCAGTCCAGTTCGCGAATGAGAGGAAGAAAGGGTTAAGGGGGAAAAACGAAAGTCGACAAACAATGTTGGGTTGCCGGTAAAGGGGTCAAATTGCTGAATACAAGTACAAGTAGCCCTATCCCGTGAATAGGCAAACAAAAACAAAAACAAAAATGTTCCGGTCGGTGAAATTTACCTGACTCTCGGAGAAGGGACCAAGGAAAGGGGGAATACCGGTATACTTGCACTGAAGTTGTATGTGCCCGTGGTGCAATTGTATTGACTTCCCTCTTCTTCCTTCGATCGTCTACCAGAGACACAAACTCATGGAGGCTTTAGTCAGACAGACAGTTCAGGGGAACGAGTGGTGGTGGTGATGCAGAGGGTGGATGAGTGATGAATGACTTGCACTTCGTTAACGTCAAAAACGCATGCACGGTATATAGCCCGCCCGCCCGGCATGACCAAGGAAAGAAGAAGAAAAGCTACGCTCCACACACACACACACACACACACACCCTTTCTCTCTTTCTTTCCCTCTCTCTCTTTCCCTCCCTCTCCCTCTCCCTCTCCCTCTCCCCGCCCCGCAAATCGTGGTGCGTTAAGTGTGAACAAGAAAAGCTTCATACTAATTCACACTCGCTTTCACTCTCACTCTCAAAACGACACTTTGCTAGACTATAGACTATATTTAGCAAACCAGGAGAAAAAATCGGTAAATTCTTCATCCAACCGCCTCTTCACTAATTGCCCGTCCCTTTCCGCCCAGGTTTTACCCTCAAGTTAGCTCTCCCCCCTTTCCAATGGTTACCGGTAACCTACCCTGCGACATGATTCATGTAAGAAACAAGGCGGCTCAAACATGCTATTCAGACTTTTTCCCATCCCACCAAATCTGGTCTCCATCATAAATTGCCCCCCCGACCCAGTTTCTGCCCTAGGATTAACCCATCAACTCCTGCCCTGCTTCCATGCACTTTTAAACCAACGGCAATACCGGTAATCTTGGTTAATCCAAAATCCAGCCTTGCAAGCGATATACCTAGCAGAAAGGCACACAGTAAATTTATCGTTGATGTGCTCGCTTCCTCGTGTCGGCCATCCTTGTCCTTGTGCTCACCCATACTCGAGTACCGGTATTGACATGCGGAGCGTCATACAGTGTTCGTTTTAAAAATAACCCTGCTCACTTGAAAAAGCTTATGAGTTCAGATTGTGTCTCAAGAAAAAGGGGTTGACTCGATGATGGTGGTGTACCCGAAACGCCTTTCCCACCCATTACTGTGGAGAAGTGACTGCGCCGCTACCTGATGCCACCTTTCATTGGTCCGTTCAAATATAGCTTGAGACCAAATGCCAAATGCTGGTGCTCAAGGAATAGCCACGCTTTTTCACGCCACCGGAATGTCTCACCTCACAGTACCTCACCAACAAAAATGCCTATGCATTGGATCCTCTGCGAAACCAACGGATTGTCATCCATCCATCCATTGATAACTTCGTTTAGCTGGCATGTTGGCAGAACGAAATAAGGTTTAATCCATGCATCCTTCTCTGCTTGCGGAGGAATGACAATGAACATGTTGGTCATAAAATATCACTCGAACTTGTAATTTGCTGATCATTCCTCATACCCCGAAGCGCAAAAGTGGGAGCGATGCCGGGTGGGCATTTTAGTTCGTGAATGTGAAGGCGTAAATACACCCATGACGGTGCATCATATGCGTCCCAGTGCCGTTACTACCGCCATATGCTGCCGGTATCTTACTATGCTCGAGCACCTGCTCTATCGTGCCTGTACTTTAGAATGCATCCATCATACTAGCACTCACACCCTACTACAATATCTACTCGAGTATGATATACTAGCAAGTTCCTACGGGCCGAGGATGGCGTGGCCCTACAAGATATACAAATTCTATACTTTATTCAGTACTAACCCGAACATAGAGTACGGTGGCTCTGTGTACGAGCAGATGACCTATAATACTGGAGTGTTTGGGCATTTTTTTTTTAAAAAAAAAAAAAAAAAGAGGAGAGTTTCAGGAGAGTGGGGCTTTTTTTCCTCACAATTTCCGTAGTTCGTATGGAGTGAGGAGTTGCGGATAACGGTCTGTGTCTAGAAGGTTACAAAACCACGTCGTGAGCCGTTCACCGTATGTCTGTGTTGGGAACGAGGTCGCTGGGTAGCTATGCGGTCATGCTACTACTCTACTTGACGTTAGGAGGTGTCGTCGGGGCACGACCTATTATAGGCCTCGTGGTATTATTGGGCCAAGGGACAACAGATTTATATCGACACATATGTTAGGATGTCCGAACGGTTAAGGAATTTGCTTCGTGAATTCATAATAGCAAATGGGTTATCCCACACAGGTTCGAATCCTGTTCCTAACGTTATATATTTTTGCTTCTCCCACACCGCGCTGAATTATCGTGCTGATATCCCACGCAAGCAAAAATTGGTGTATGCTTGTCACACTATATGCTCTTTTTTGAACCTCGAGAGCAAGGATCAACAGAAATCGCGGACGGATCCAAACAACCAATAAGAGATATTTATCCATACTCGCTAATCTGTATCTGTCAACTGTGGATAAGTGAGTGTTCGTATGAGGTCAGGGCATCAATAGTGGCTGGCCGTGACGACAATAATACTGCGTAAATAGAATGTATATATATAAAGAACTATTTCCCAGTTTCCCGGCCTAAAACTGCTTACTCTCAGTGACGACTTTCTTATTCCTAATTCTGAACTAGACTGGCACTCGATTTCGGATACCTGCATACCTGCATCGGCACTCTAGCCCCGCAAATGGATCAATTACATGCAGATCAGTTCATCTTCCATCACTCGAAAGCCAAAAACCAGGTACGCGGCGCGACACGTACCGCACTTGCTCAGCACCAAATGCGCGTTAGGCAAAGCGGGATGAGCCGGGACCGCAACGTTGTGAAGAACAACCTTGTTTTTATTGAAGTTTACTCGCTTGTACAATATTATTGTGGCCTAAGCCCAGGTGTCCTGATCCGGGATAAAAGAAAGCCCGCCGTGAAATCGGCGAAACCTCGGGCGAAGTGGGGGCTAGAACTCGGTCATTTATGCCGAGCCGATGAAACGGCCGGGTTAAGGCGCTCCAAGGGAACACTAGCATTGGAAAACGGACTGATCGGGGTCACGTTGGGCTCCTGGTTGTTGGTATGGTGTGCAGGCTTACATCCGGCATCAGGTCTTACCGTATTCGTTCGGTTCGAACATCGAGGTGGGGCCGGTTGATTCGGCGATACCTGCAACCCTTTGCTTGCAACCTATTCCTTATTCCTGGCAGTGATGGACGGACTATCGAAGTGGTCTTGGGGAGCTGTGCGCTACCATGATTAACGCAAGCGAAATCCATAAATCCTCCACTCATATGCATTCTTTTCCAGATATCCCCAAATTGCCCCACCACCGTCCGGGAGAAAAGGCCAGACTAGTACCCCTCACTACACCGGGGAATATTACGTGCCCGCCTTACGCTCTGGAGTGGCCCCCTCCCCCCCCCGTACCCGCAACAATGGGGCGAACCCGATACCGCGGGGAAGAGAAGCATCCAGGATTGGATGCGGTGATGTGTAGTGCCCTGCAGATTAGGCAAAAGAGAAGGGCCGTGGTATCGTCATCACCAAATTCGGAAAACGGCTAATCTAACTACCGTGCGCTCTGCGTTGTGATCGTATGGGGAATTCTGCTTGGTGAAGTTTTTCGAGCTTCTGGCGCGCTTCTAGTTGTCTAAAAGGGAAGTTGGTCGGAGAAGTGACTTTTTCACCATCAACTGTGGTTTGTAACACGTAATTCGCTGTCTGTGGTATGGCTCGGGGATAAAGCTAGGTTGGAATATCGGGTTACATTTTAAGGGTCTAACAGGTGGTGGGTAGACAAGCCCTATCATAGGCAGGGTTCTTACCTTCTCCCCAGAATTAATATATAATAACCCTTTATTCCTTTTTCTACCCTTATTGTTGGCCTTTCTTGCTTCCTTCAGTGGGGAAGAAAGAAAGAAAAAGAAAAAGAAAAAAACTATTTCCTCTCTCTCCTCTGACCCAATTGTTTTTAACAAGATGTATCTCCGGGAAGCCAGATTATCGGACATGCCAGCTGTGGGCAAGATTGGTGCGAGGGCTTTTATTGACGATCCTTTATTCGCCATTCTGGAGCCCGGGAGAAATGCCTATTACGAAGATTACGAGGGGGGCTGGATCCAGCGAGTACGGAAATATTTTTTAAAACTGGAGACGAGAGTAATTCTCGCGGTAGACGAAGAATCAAAAGATATATCGGGGTTTGCAGTCTGGGTGCGGGAAGGCGACGATCCAGCGGCAGATAGATGGAGGGATGAAGGCGGTATACTAAAACGTATGATTACTATTCTGAGGAAAAAAAGCTTTCCCATCCTACCCACCATGGGCTAGCCCAATGCTTCCCTCCTTCCTCACAATAGAAACTAACGAGGAAGTCCAGGAATCGAGTTCAAACTCCTCACTATCGAAGATAAAATCACTGCCCTCCTTTCCCCTAAATCCCGCTCAGAAAATCCCGCCGCCCTAGCACACTTTGACAAGGCAGTAGAGCAGGTCGACGCGACGATCTGGTCCCAGGAAGGCCGCCACATCCGCTGGCATCTGTACCTTCTAGCCGTGAGCCCCTCATGGCGCAAACAGGGCGTCGGTAGCCTGCTTACTAGCTGGGGCATGGAAAACGGCGCGAAGGAGGGCGTGATATGCGTCCTCGAGTCGAGCCCCGCTGGCAAGAGCCTCTACGAAAGATTAGGCTTCAAGATGATTGACGTGTGGGTGCCTTTCGAGGGGTCTAAGGAGGGGTTTGAGCAGCTTACTGCGCCCATGATGGTTTGGCAGCCCGGTACTGCGAAAGCAAACGGGGCCGCGGAGGGGAAAACGGCAAACGGGGTCGCAATTGAGGACGGGTCGGTGAATGGTGCGAGGGGAGGTACTGGCATGGGAAAAGCGATAGATCCCCTGTGAAGGCGGTGTGCTCGTTGGGGAGAAATTGTATATATTGTGTTACTTTATTCTTTTTTTCTCTCTCTTGTCTGTCGTGTTGCATCGGCACTTGAGAGGCTGTATATGTGCTCGAGTATGTTTTGATACCGATTGTATGGACAATAACTATGGGGCATGTAAAAAAATAAAAAATACTATAATAATATGATAAGTTAATCATCAGACCGGACCGGTAACTTGTGTGCAACAGTCGGATTTATAAATATTTCCTACTAACTTACTACTCAAAATGACCTTCACATGCTTACGCTACACCACGTGCACACGGTACCGGTACTCGATCTACTCTTGGCACCGCCCAAATGAAGACATGGATCATTCCAATTGCCGAAGGGCTCGTACTGTACCAGCATGGTACTGCCGTTGCCTTAAAACACCGCGGAGACAGGATTATTGTTTCTCTCTCTTCTTTCCCACCCTAACATGTTGGAGTACTCACTCTGTGCCGTTATAGTGGACCAGAAGGGAGTGTAGTACTTCCTGCAGGATTTTTTTTTGTTAAGTCCGTGGATTGATTTAGGTACAAGACCGGGGCTCACCTGTCACATTCAACCTGAGTTATGGCGTCAAAGCACTAACAAAGGAAACGCATCCCAACTCTGTCCAATGCCCCTAATCCTACAGTCCCTCTGGTCTGGGACCAACCGCACATCCTCCCTCAAAATAAGAAAGGTAGGCAGAAAAGAAAGCACCACCAGAAGACACCAATAACAAAGAAATTGAAAGCAAACATAACCCTCTTTTCCTCGTCCAGGCAGTACTTCCTGCAGGACCTCCCGCAAACGGATATTTGAGCACCCTGCAAATACTTGTGAAAGTCAAGCTCCTTCTGGCCGATTTTCCCACCCTGCTTTTCATCTCGATGAATAGGAGGATTATTCGTGGGGTAAAACACGGACCAGCTCTCACTATCCTACACTGCGAGATTGGGCTTGGAGCTTCATAGGCTTGTGGAAAGAACTTCATGATGAGATATAAAGTTACTCTGCTGGCACAATACCGGCTCAGTCACCCACTTTGCCTAGTTACACCCGGGCTGACATAGCTGTGGTGAATAAAGAACGAGCTAGTCTGTGGCTCCTGCTTGCTTGCTTGACCCTTTATGCTCCTTTGGGCCTTGTTATTTGGCCCTTCATACTCCCCCAATAAGTCCGGAGCCACATCTAGGATTATTCCAATTAACTGGAACTCCTAGGAATGTGTAGCAGGTATAGTGCTATCTCTGGTTACACATCCTATCTGCCTAACCTGCTGCGCACATGGTCTCCTTCTAGATGCTCGCCCGCACGCCTAGGCTATACTTTTACCCCTGTTTTTACAAGAGGCTTCTTACTAGTTCTTGGTCCTTAAGAATAAGGATTACCCGGTGAACCCTCTCACATGGTAAGACTCAGGATTGAAAGGAATTAGGACTTCCAGTTATTACAGCTTCTCCTTTGTCGGTGTCAACAGGTGGTGGCTTTCCTCTTCTGTCTGCCTTTCTTAATTTTCGGGAAGGGATTGTGCGGCTGGTTCTGGACTAGAGGGACTGTACTGTAGAATTGGAGGGCATTGGATAGGGTTGGAATGTATTTGCTTTAGATTTTCAGGTTGTGGCTAGTGGTTGTATACAAACATTGCCTCTCTAAACAATCATTAAAAAAAAAAAAATACTTGCGAAAATGAGCTGTTGGGTTGTGCGATTGCTATGTCCCGCGTTTGAAAGATAGGGGTTAGGCTGAGCGCAAGAGGATGCCAGATAAGGCTAGGGAGTGTTTTGCACGCCGTAATTTGAGCTCTTCGCTGCCATATCTCAAATCGTGATTTAGGCATAAATCTTCATTTGAAATATTAATTGTGTTTGGCCGGGTACGATAGCGGTTTTAAATTCAATCACGATTAATTTTGGGAAAACTTCATAGTGTGTGTGTGTGAATATTTAGGGCTACAATATCTTTGTTTTGTGCCCTTAAGTATAATACAGTACTTCGTTCGTATCATAAATGCCATGATAATATTATTATTATAGTATCCCCTGCAGTGCTGATAGTGCCGAATTTCCCTACATCTCGCTAACATGCGAACTAAAAAAACTAGCTTCGCACTTTTCTAGAAATGTCAATCGAGTGATATCAAAAGCATTTCAGGTTAAATTATGATGCAGATCTTTTTCCATTAACAGGTCCACTAAACCTAATATGAGAGCGATGTTGCCAGTAGGTGTGAGGTAATGAATCTGTCGATATTTACTAACCAACATCCGGACTCATGTGATAGCATTCCACTTCTGTGAGGTTGAGTCTGCCAATCAAAGAAATACACTAATTTCACTAGTGTAGCTTTAGCACGATGTAGGG